TATCTTACCTGAATTAAGTGATCATTTGGCTATTTCATTTGCTCTTTCTATCCCCACTAAGCAAAAAATAAAACTGACAAAGTGCATTACGAATTATAATAGAGCTAATTTCGATGCGATTAACGCCGAGATGATCCATTATTTCGAATATTTCATGATTGGTTTCGAAAACCGAAGCGTAATGTCAAATTGGAACCTTTTTCTGGGTAAAATTCATGAACTAACGGAGAAGCATATTCCACTGCGTAAAATTTCATGTAGTTCTGGCTCGCAATGGTACACCAACCATCTCAAAAGATTGTCTAATAAAAAAGCCACTCTATCGCCTTGCAAAGAATTCGTAATCGAGCACCCGGTGGAATAACTATGAAGCAGCAAACATCGCCTACGTAGCGGCCCTCAAACAAGCGAAAGCTAACTTCCAGCAACATATTTTACCATGCATGTTAACCGACAATCCAAGAAAGTTTTGTCGCGTCATTAATCCTAACCATAGCAGCACGTGGCATCTAATCGATAATAATGGCATGCCTATTGCTGAATCTGATTGTGCCGAAATAGTAAACAACGTCTTCTGCAACAAATCACAAGATATAATGACGTGACACCTACTTATCAACCCGGTTACAACTATATACTCAATCATGGATCCTATTATCATTTCACCCTCTGGTATCTCTAAGCTTATTGATTCACTAAAGGCATCATCAAGCCCTGGCTCAGGCTCAGTGACTCCCAAAATTTTAAAAAGCACCAGTGCCATTTCGTCATTGTTTCTTGCTCAGATTTTTTCAGCAATCTATCGATAACGGCGCTCTTCCGCAGGACTGGCAAGTCGGAAAGGTGGTTCCGATACACAAGTCAGGTAGTAAAAGTTCACCCTTAAACTACTGCCCCATATTATTAACCAGTATTCCTTGCAAAATATTAGAGCACATTATTTACACTAACGTCGCCTCATTTTTGGAAATTTTTTTTTTCAGACGCGCAACATGGTTTCCTCAAAAATCGATCTTGCGAAACACAACCGGCATCCTTCATTCACCAACTTCATGTTACTTTAGAACGTAGGTCACTAACTGATTTTATTTTTATCGACTTCTCTAAGGTTTTCGACAAAGTAAGTCATAAATTACTGCTCTTAAAGCTCAAACAACTAAACCTTGATAATAGCGTCATCAGATGGATAGAACATTTCCTACTTAACTGCACGCAGTTTGTAACTGCCAACGGGCGCTTTTCTTCATCTCGTGCCGTTCACTCTGGAGAACCACAGGGTTCCGTCTTAGGACTCCTTTTATTTCTAGTTTACATTAATGATTTGCCTTTATGTGTTTCTGCTAACATAAAACTGTTTGCAGATGACTGCGTGATGTTTCGTGAAATTAACAGCCCGAATGACATCACTGCCCTTCAAGATGACAATGACTCCATTTTTAACGGGTGCACGACTTGGCCAATGGAACTAAATATTTCCAAATGCAAGGTATTGCGCATTTCCCGAGTATCGTCTTCTCCTGCTTCTTACTCACTGAAGAGCATCCCACTTAAATCAGTCACCTGTTTACGTTATCTAGGCGTACACATCACCACTTGTTTAAGCTGGTAACTCCATATCCGCTCCATTATTAATAACGCAAACCGCATGCTTGGGTACATTCGTCGCAACTTCTCTTCCGCACCTGTCTCACTTAAGCTACTAATGTACAAGACGCTGATCCGTAGCAAGATAGAATACGCTGCTGCAGTATGGGATCCGAGTTCAATTAATTTAATCAATGCTCTTGAGCTAATCCAAAACACTTCTGTTCGTTTCATTATTCACAACTACAGTCGTCACTCTAGCATTTCTGCCATGAAAAATTCACTCGTACTGCCGTCTCTTGCCTCTCGTCGTATGCTCTTCTGCCTCTGTCTATTTCACAAAATTTATCTTAACATTCCAACTCTTCGCGAGGCACTTATTTTTCAGCCTTCTTACGTATCATCTAGAATTGATCATCCTAATAAAGTTGGTGTCATGTCATGTCTAACCGAGACATGCAGTGATTCATTTATTCCCAGAACATCAGTAGACTGGAACCACCTTCCCGGATCTGTGGCCATCTTGACCGATCATCACGTGTTTCGTTCTGCGCTAACTAGCATTGCATAAACGCCCACACTTACTTGTTCTGTTTGTACGCAACGCTTATATTTTGTTCTTTTTGTTTGTTTTTATGTATTTTTAATATTAGCTAACATTTTATGAGTAAAAACTCGTGTTTCACCCCCCTCCATAATGTCTTTGGCCCGGAGGGTATCACAAAATAAAAAATAATAAAAAGACTTCATGAACATCGTACCTGAAAAGAAAAGAGCACTTGCAGTGCTAGTTGCAAGTAACTATCAATGCACATACAATGTTCCCACTTTCTTGTCATCGGGATTTCAAAATTATATGGTATCCCAGCCAGTGCCTCATCGATTTCGCGATTAGTGGAATTCGACCGCTGCGTGCAAGACAAAGCAACCAATTCGTGGTAAGTACTGATCGTTGCTGTTGTGCTTTGGTTTTCATTCTACCGTATCTGTGTCTTGTTCATCACTCACGTCGTGTTAGTGGGACACATCGTGAACCGCAGAGTGGTACAGTTAAATGATTCGTCAAACTTCCCGTGAGCAATCGGTCTCAAGCGCACAATTTCAAACGAGCAAACAAGGAGTAATAGAAATAATCAGGAAAAAGCGTTAAAACCATCGTAGCATGAAATTGCAAGCACCACCTTCGACGAAATAGAACTTGACGCTTTGACTCGGCTTTGATCATGTCTTTGCAGAGCGAGAATAGCTGATAGCGGCGGCGGGCGCCATGCAAGCCAAGGCCATTTGCGTACGGCGTTGAGCAGCCTAAAAAAAGCACACCGATGCAGTGTTTTATATTGACGCTCCCAGATGGCGCGACGATCTGCTACTCCTTAGAGTTACTGTATATGCTACGTTTAGGTAGCATATACAGTAACTCTACCAGGGGCGGCGCCAGGATGTTTTTACTGGGGGGGCAACCACGAAAAGTGAGTTCCTCCAGGGGGGCAAGCAAGTGGGGAGCTTATGCATTGTATTTTCACTGTCTTACTCTCTTCCCCTTTTCTTCTTTTATAAACGCCCAACTTCTTCGATGGAAGTCTACGATATGTCCTGTTATATGTCACCTACGCTTCGTTCAGTAGCTCAACACGTCAATAAACATGCGTATTGTTCTGCTTAGGCCAGTTCAACGTAATATATTATCTGAAAGATTTTCTCTTGATCTAAATCAACTCTTACACTCTTACAAAAGAAATCACCTAGGCGCTAGCTTTATACGGGTTAGAATGGGATTAGCTGGGCGAAAAACAGCTGATCTATAGCTTCCTTGATAATATTACCAGAACGATAGCAACTTGAGAAAATGGGCGCAGCTGTGATGTAGTCGGAGGTAGCCAGCCAAGCCTCTGGGAGAAGTCGAGCCGAAGCAACGCCTCCTAGAACTTGTCAAGCCTGCGTGTCACGACGTCAGCTACGTCATCAGCGTCGACCGGTTTGACGCCGCTATGCTGCTTCGCTGTCTTTGCTGTCTAGTACACTGTAGCTGTATCTACTGCTATGCGCAGTTCACTGCAATCTCGCCAAGGATAGCTATCTATTAGCTCACCTGCAACTGCTTCATTTGCTGCACGCAAGTGCTGCTTAGTCACGAAATACCACAATCTTTCACCACAATCTTCCAAAAACACAAGAGGACACCAATTAGTCGGTGGCTGAAACCGTTTGGCTGGGCTAAAGGCCCAGGTTCTAAACACACCAGTGTAAGTAAGATATTCGAGCAACGCAGTAGGATACAACTTAATATTTAGCATGTTTACACAGCAGTTGTATTGCTAGTAAAATGAAAATTGATACAGTTTGTCAAACAACCGATATACAAAATGCAGTACCAAATAAAAGAAATTAAGCTTGGTAACCAGCAGCAACAAAATAACACGTGTTAACTAGATCACAATATTGCTTCGAAAAAGTCATTTCAGAGCATCAGAGATAACTAACACCACTAAGTAATGTTCATATCAATTCCAAGTTTCGTAATGATGCGCCAGATTACAAAATGTTAAAAGGCTGTTCTTGCACCTGCTGGTGTTGCTAAACGTTGGAAATGGGAAAAGAAAAAAGAAGCAATGTAGCAAAAGAATAAACAAATGAAGGGCATAGATTTGTAAAACTGGATCACGCATAGACAGGTAAGTCATTTCACATCTGACTAAACAGTACACCAGTTTTCACAAACGTGTCAGCTCTCCTACTAGGCACTGTTCACCACACAAGCGGGGCACCGACGTGGCCTCAGACAAGCGGGGCACCTTTTGCAGTTTGTTTGAAAGCGAGGAAAAACGGCCGGAATTATTCGATGGCGAAGCGGGTTTCCGTGCCCGAACATTTTTCCCATGAAAGTGCCGCAAAGCTACTATAGAGTTTCATTTACCGGCATACAAGTGCAGACGTATACGCCGATTATTGTGTGCAGCATCGAACATGTCAACAACACGCTGAAGGTCTATCTTATTGGCTAGAGACCGTTCTACCGCAAGCACAGCTAGGTCGCTCAGACGGTTGTTAGTCATTTTGCTGCGAAGATAAGTCTTCAGTCTTCGAAGGCACGAAAATGTGCGCTCGCGAGAAGATGATGATGCCGGTATCGTCACGGCGATAACACTTAGCTTGTGCAGTTCGTGAAAGGCTAACTTATACTCTTCCAAGACGGTGACCAATTGCAGCAATGTTTCTATCTTGCACTTCCTTTCGGCTTCGATGCGCTGAAGAAGTTTAATTACCAACTTGCATTCAACTTCAACGCTGTTGATGTCGCATGCGTAGTGCTCAGCGAAAGGCTTGAGCAAGGAGACGTCCATAAAATTCTCACTTTGAGGGTGGAGGGCGCTGACTCCGCAGAGTACGTCATAATTTTCCGCAAATCGCCTAGTCAGTTACACAATGAGGTGGTCCAAAACGGGCAGAAAAACTTTGACTCTGAAAGTTTCTTTTGAATCTGGAGACTCTTCTTCAACGGGCCGTCCTTCACTTAATACAAACTGCTCTAAATGGAGCGGAAGGCGCTTCGTTCTCTGCTTTTCCCTTTGGGGGACCCCGTTCTCCTCAGAAATAGTGCAGGTTTGCTCCCACACAGTGCCAAACGCGCTCTGCGAATTTCTGATTTCGGATAACTCGTCAATGACAGTGTGCGCCATGAGGCATGCCTGACTAAGGTTGCAGTCTTTACTTTGTAATATGTCCGAAAAAACCTTAAGGCGGCTGAGTAGCTTGGTGAATAGCCTTAAATGGAAAAGAAAAGAGAAGTTCATTTGCTCCAGCAGACCCCCGGCTTCCGTTGCCCGCCTGCTGTTTGTAGCGATGACTTCGCTGAGGCATACAAGAATGGCAGGAAAGCTTTTCATGGCAGCTGTGCAAGCCGTTATCTGGCAGGCCCATCGTGTATCGCTGAGACGCTGCAGCTCTGTCACAGGCAAAGACAACCTTTTTTGAACATCTACATAGAGGGAGTGAACTGCAGATCCACTTAGGAATACATAAAGGCTTTCCAAAAGAGAGAAAAAATCCCTCACCGGTTTTATCGCCTTGCAGACATCCACGATGACAAGATTGAGACGGTGGTTCATGCAGTGTACGTACACTGCCTGCGGCACTTCCTGCCTGAATAGTGCCTGGACGCCTCGTGACGTACCGCTCATGACACTTGTACCATCGTATGTTTGAGCAATGCACAGTTGAGAATCAATGCCGCAGCGATTCAGCGTTTCCTTGACGTAGCTCAGGAGCGACTTAGCATCCAATTGCTCAGCGTTGCGGAATCCAAGGAACCTCTCAAAGACAGCCCCATTGAGGTAGTACCTTACTACCACTGACAACTGTTCCGTCTTACTTAGATCCTTGGTTTCATCGACGATAAGTGCAAAGCACTGGGAGCTTTTTATCTCTTCCTTTATACTTGTTAATGTGATGTGGCTGAGAATTTCGAGGATCTGGTCTTGTATCGAGTGATGAACGTACTTCGCATTCGCTGCTCCACCATTCAGTTTCTTTCCTATAATGTCGTCATATTTAGCAAACAAGTTCAAGAGCTCAACGAAGTTTCCTTTGTTTTCACTTCTGGCACTTTCATCGTGGCCCCTCTGAGAGATTCCCTGAACGGCAGTAAATCGCAATATATCGGCAACTCTTGCTATATAGAGGCGATTTTCCTGCACCTCCCTGGAGTACGCGTCGCTGAGATGTGTTGCAACCGACCTGCTTTGTCCTCCCGCCTTCATCTGCGTGAAGGAAACCCACGATGCCTGGCAAGTCTTATGCACGAGTGAGTTTTTGTGCTTCCTGAAGCCACCGTCTCTTTCTAGGGCATTTTTCCAATTACTGTATCCACCATTGACAAATGCAGATTTCTCATTGTCACCAGTTGAAAACATTCTGCAAGGGAAACAGAAAGCTGCGTCAGCCTGCGCGCTGTACTCCAACCAAGGAAATAGGCGGTACCAGTTTGAGTTGAAGCTCCTGCTCAATTTGCCGTACTTCTTAGATGGAAATGGGTTCAGTATTGGCTGTGTGGGTTGCTCTGTCTTGAATTTCGAAATGTCCAACTGGCCTGCGTGGTCGACATCCACATCAGAGGCGGTGAATTCTGTCGCAGAATCAGGTTGATGTCTTGCTGCACACGATGCGGAAAGGTCATCACATTCGCGGTCCATGTGCCCTGACGAGGACGGGCAAGCATCGTCAGACGCGATGCTACGCACAGTCTCTTCAAGCGGAATTGAAACAAAGCACTGAGCATTTTCTTGTTCCTGAAGCGTCTCCGAATCTTCTGCTGTGGAAGCAAAAAGCTCGGGGGAGACAGCTTTTTGCTTGGCCCGCTTGCTCGAAGGCGAAAAAAAGTCGGCAATAGACCTTTTCTGTGACATACTGAGACAAGCCAATGTAGACTGAACGTTGGAGGGATCACGACCTCCTCTATAAACTTACGACCTGCTCATGCCGCCGCTCCCCGTGTCGCCGGTTTTGCTTTTGCTTGTTTAGTTTTTTTTAGTTCTCGAAAGTGCCGCAGACTGCCTTGGCGCCACAACTAACCCCCACTGCTGCAGCCGCCAAGCCGCTGTTCTGCTTGGTGCGTGCGTGCGTTCGCATGATCTTGTGGCACTCGAAGGCTATCGCCACTATCGCTTGTCACCAGTAGTCTGCGCAGTCAGGAGCGTTAGATAACGACAGCAGCAGCACCATTCCCGCAATGGTGTACTGCTGCGTTCCTTTTTGCAAGTCGAGCGATCGGCGGTCAACTGGGATATCGTTTCACGAGTTCCCCGTCACCCAGATTCGACAGGAGTGGTTGAAGAAGATCACTCGACAGGCTGAAGGTAAGGCACCGAAAGTGCTGTATTGCATGCACTGCAAGATCTGACTAGTTGAATGCAGTTCAAAACTTTTTTGCGCGCTATGTATGCTGCTCAGCGTTGTTGGCTGGCGTCTAGAAACACAAGTGCTGTTTGTGGGATTCGTGGACGCCGATCGTGTACACAGCCCATCAGGCCCTCAGCCAGGGAAAGGGGTGGGGGGTGGGGCACGTAATTCTGTTGAACTATGTGTTTTTACCAAAAATAAATAATAAAAATAGACGTTTTTCTCAAATAGTCAAGGATTTCAGCAAGTGCCCCCCGCCACGAAAAAATTTCCTGGCTAAGGGGCTGCAGCCCATGCTACATTTTTCCTTTGTTGTACTGTCCTTTGTTGCCGCAAGACTCCGTGCACGTGGCCGTGTCAGGGATAGAGCACTTACTTTCAACTATTCCGCTCTGATGCACAGCGGTGTTGCTTTGTTGAGAAATTTGTTTTATTTATTACACTATTGTTTTGCGCTGGCGTTGTTTTATAACAAAATTAAGGGAAATAGGCGCAAATGGATCTGCCCTGAACTGATGCAGCTGCTAGTAAATTGAAATGGTAAGGGATTCAACTAGTGAATACACTAGAGATCCTTTTCTGTCACGTTGTGAAGGTTACTAAAAGGCTAATTCTTAATCGATTGCCTACTATCTGATAATTCTGGTGCGGTCTTAAGTACAATATTTGTAGGACCAGGAAAACAGCCATGGGAGCCGAGCGACCGCAGCAAGGTATGCAGCTTGCATTTCAAGCCAGAAGATTACAGAGAAGGCCTGAAGCTGCGCAAACTAAAACCAGATGCCATACCTTCAATATTCCCGAGCTACCCAGGGTATATGCAGGAACCATCCCGAAAAGAGCGACAGCCTGTGAAAAGGTGTGCTGTGCCAGGGCTGTCACCAGACAAGCCTCATGCAGAAGCAAAGAAAAATAGGTAAGCCTTTTTGTGTAATTAGTGTTTGTTTAGCCACGCCCAAATTTCTTCTAATACATGCTTCATCCTGTAACACGTCGAAATTCTTAATGTTGCAGGCCAGACATACCCTCTCCTTATGGGTCCCCGTCTGAGAAGATTGATGAGCAGGAAGACAATTGTGTGGCTGGCAGCAGTACCGCACATCAGGAGGATGAAATGCTGACAGAACTCTGCAGTGAACCCTCCTCTCTGCCTTTAATTTTGCCTGCACCTGAATCTTCTTTCTGCTTGCCTAAAACATATCAGATGCCCAAACATGGCAAAACTGTCCAGTGCCAGACAAGTCCATCAAAGGCAACCAGACCACGTGGAATGCAGACTAGGCTTTCACTGTCCCGAATGACCAATCTCCTGAGGAAAGTGCAAAACTTTACCCGGGAGTGTCAAAGGCTTCAGAAAAAGCAGCATCACCTACAGGAAGAGCTCTCCACTCTGAGGCAGGAGGCAAAAAAGGCGTCCTTGTTGATGAAGAGAACAAACGTCGAAATCCTCCAGGTGTGAACTTATCTCTTTTTGAACATTAAAAAAAATCTCATTACCTGCTTATATCATACTTGCAGCAAAAGGTGGAGGAGAGCAACGAAAAAGCTCTGTTCCTTCAAGAGCAGCTTGCTTTTCTGGGCAAAAAGAAAGGGCTATGGCGTGAGCAGACAGTGCGCAAATGCGTTCTTTTGCACACTAAATCACCAGCCGGGTACCGCCTTCTTCGGGAGATTGGTGTCTTGACCTAGCCGAGTCGCTGTACTCTCAAGCGATACATTGGCGCATGCACTGGAGAGGTGGTGTCCTCTCTCATCAAGCAGCGCCTTCATGCAGAAGTGAAACTGCACTCTAAGTAGGTACTTTATTTACTCTTCGCCTTTACTTTTTTGCCAGGAGTAAAATTACTGGAGCTATGTTCTTTGCGATTATTGCAGGCACACTGTGGGTCCCTGGTGATGGACGAAATGTCACTAAAGCAATCTGCACTGTACCATAAACAGTCCGATGCTCTCCATGGATTTGTCGACCTAGGAGGTGCCGAGGTAGACTATAGCCTGGAGGAGCAACTGGCAACTCACCTACTCTGATTCGTCTTTGTAGGACTGTCTACCCACTACAGGTATGTGAAATATTTGGCTACTCTCCGTTCATGTCATGTGAACCTGTGCAGATAATTTTTTTTCCAATCCTTCAAATGATTACCATGTCCTTTACCTAATGCCTAGTGCTTTTACAATACAGGCTGCCAGTAAGATATTATTTTACAAAAGGATTGACAGGGGAGCAACTCGAGCAACTTTCGTTGAAAGTAATGCAATCAGTTGAAGATGCTGGGTTTGAAGTGGTTAGGTTGGTTGCTGACAACCACAGCACTAACTGCAAGTTTTTTGCCAGCTTGTCTGGTGGCAAAATATGCCCTGTTGTCACGTGAGTAATTGCTCAGTCACATTTTTGCTAAAGGTTACACCTCCTTTAATTGTGCATAAATTTATGAGCTATTAGAGTGTTGAAGCAAATGTGTCCTGTCAACATTTTCACAGACTCCTAACAGTATTCACTGATCCTTTACAGGCACCCTCTCGAACCAGACAGGCAACTGTTCCTGTCGTTTGACTATTGTCATATCATAAAAAATGTCAGGAATCAGTTCCTCGACACTAAAAGGATTTTCAGGAATGCTGGAGTGCTCATCGTTCCAGACTACCTGAGGTACAATTTGGTAGCTTTTTCATGCCTTACAAATTGACAGTTTAACATTTCATTTTGTCACAGGAACTTGCATGACATACAAGAAAAGCAGGCGGGTGCTTTCAAGCTTGTGAGGTGCTTGACTAAAAAGCACCTTTGGCCGAGCAATTTTCAGAAGATGTCTGTTGCCAGGGCTGTTGCGATCTTTTCTCCTCAGGTAAAGAGTGCATAAATGTTTATTTTAGAAGAAACTCAGAGAAAAATATGATTTCACCCCAAGCATGTGGTGATGGTTATCCCACTCATAATCACCTGTATTATAATTTTATTCTAGGTAACATCTGTGCTCAGGTTTTTACTAAAACATGCACAGCAGCTCGGTTTCCATGGGTTCGACGACTCCCTGCCAACCATTGAGTTCATGGAACTTGTTTATAAATGGTTTACTCTCCACAACATTAAGAGCACCTCATTGTTCTGGATGAGTAGAGACGCTCTGAGAATGCCCTTCTATGGTCCAGATGACGAAAGGTATCCATGAACTACTTCTAATTGTCATTCATCTTCCATTTGTGTGAAAACATGAATGGTTCCATTTTCTTTATATGCACAGTTTTGTATTAGGTATTCTTTGCTATTAAAATGTAAGCTTGAAACCTTTGTAGTTTGTCCGTAGGCCAAGTGCCACTTTCTAACTGATCTCATTGCTCATACTTTTATCATGCAGGCTCCTCTGGCTTGAAAATGAGTGCCTCATCTATTTTGACTTATGGAAAGAGAGTAACGCACACATTCTAGACTTTTTGTCAGAAGAAACTTATAAGGCCCTGAGAGTGACAACTATGTCAACTGTTCTCTGCACCAGGCATCTTCTTGGGCGCGGATTTCATTTTGTCCTTACAGGAAAGTTTTCCAGTGATGATGTGGAATCCCTGTTTTCTACCATACGACAGCTAAATGGCTCCAATGATCAAACCGATGCCTACGCAGCACTGTCGTCACTACAGAAGATCTTAGTAACGGGCTGCATTCATTCATCTCCAAGTGGCAATGTGGGAAGCGTTATAGGTTCTATTGGGGAGGCAACCAAACTCGCCCCTCAACCTGCAGCTGCTGCACCACCTGACAAGGACATTAAGAAGCTTCTGCTCCCTTACCTTACAGCATTGGAGCGCTTCCCAAGTGGGTTTGCACCATTTATTATTTACGAATACCTATCCCTCACAAACATTTCAGTAATAAGATGCATGTTTTGAAGATACAGAAAGTTGATCCAAAAGTTTTAGTGCTTGTGTGGTAAGGTGACGTGCAGCTACATCAAAATGAAAAGTTCTAAATCGAAGTCATGAGTTCCTTAACCAGACCCGTAGCCAGGAATTTTTTTAGGGGGGGGGGGGCACTTGTTGAAAACCTTGGCTATTTGAGAAAAACACCTATTTTTATTATTTATTTTTGGTCTTCACCAAAATTTTGGGAGGGCGGGGGGAGGGGGGGCTTGGTTGCTACTGTACGACACATTTACAAATTATTGCACTTTGCTTAGATGGTACCACAATTATAGATGCTACTACTTAATCACTTATTTTAATTGTATTGCCATTCTCTAAATTCTTTCTTTCATTCTCTCAGGTCCTCCTACTCAAAGCTTGCGTGCCAGCACACTGGCACTAATAGCTGGTTTTCTAGTGAGAGCTGTCCAGGATAACATCTGCTGCGAAGGCTGCCTTATGAAAATACAGGCACCCAAATCAAGCTCTACAACAACTGCTCTAATTGCAGGAATTGACAGGGGAGGACTCTCATACCCCTCATTGCCATTTGTTGGATTTGTAAGCGTCCTCGAGGGTGCAGCCTCTAAAGCAGCTGCGATCCTTGTGAAAGGGCAAAAACCCTTGCAGAAGTTTTCAAGCATAGTGCTCCCTTCACTTCTAAAAAATTCCTTATTTGCATGCACTATGAATGATAGTGGGTTACACAGAGCAGCTCTCTTGAATTTAATTTTGCGAAAATTCATGAGGCCTTTCTTGGCAAACTATGCCAATAATTTAACCGAGGCACATTCAAAGAGAAAGCTCCTCAACAGGAAGCCTTTGTCGCGAAAAGTTTTGAAAGTTTGAAGTTCTTTTTCCTTGTAACAGCCACATAGAATTGCTGTATGCTCATGCACATCTTGGCTGCTGACCTTCTTTTGAATACAGATAGCAGGGGAGTTTGTTTTTCCAGTGTCATTTTAGCCTTATGAAACAAGACATGCCTGAACAAGACATCAAGAATGTGCGGTCCACACTTCCTAGTCTTCTGACTTGGGTATCATTCTTTATATTGGGTTCATCTTTTTTCTCTTTTTTTTTTGTCTTGCCACGTAATCTTAACTTTTTCGGTTTTCTTTAACCCCCAAGTTTCTGCACTATATATTTGTACTGGTACAATGCAGTGGCTCTACACTTTGTTTTTGGGATGGCAGCATGTTGCTAGTCATAATTTTTCAAGGTTTCAGAATTTGTGGATTTGATCACATGAATGCAATCAATTGTGGGGCAAGCTTTTCTAAAGCCAACTTGCTTCCTTCATTGATTAAAGTGCAGCGCTTTCCTTATCCTGAACCTTCGTGAATATATTGCTGAGAGTTTAGTAGAATAATATGGGCACTTTTCCAGCTAAGGCATACATTCGAGATCTTGAGACATTCTGCAATATTTAGTGGAGAGCAGAGTGGATCAGAGAATAAACAGGGGTAGCTCACATCTATCTTTAATAGAAAAAAGTAGAGCTGCGCAGGCAACGTAGTGCACAGGACCTATAACCAACGTGCAGCGAGAGCAACGGAGTGGATATCGAGGGATGGCTAACGCAGCCGAGTTAAACAGTTAGGTTGCTTGATGAAATTCAAGAGGTTCACTGGGATAAAATGGAATCGGCGTGTGCAAGACGGCGGCAAGAGATCATTGCGAGAGGTCTTTACCCTGCAGTGGACACATAATAGTCGGGTCATGATAATGACATAGGATATTTCACCCCTGCATTGATAATATTTGAAAGTTGTTGGATATCTGGGAGATTTTGTCTGGTCCCAAAAGCAGTGTTTACTGGATCCTAGGGCAGTATTTTGCTTTGAGCAGGGCTGAATTTTAGTTCTGCCAGTAGTTACTGCAGATGGAGTGCTGATGTGCTCTAGGTAAAGCAAGGGGTGCTAGGTAGTTTGTGCGTCTATATATTCCTTTATGTCCTTGGCTGTACTACTCACTTTTTTTACTAGAGCTATTGCTGATCACACTGTTAATGTTTTTGTGCACTAATAAATTGCATTTTGCAGGTATCAACATTTTCGTTGCAGATTAGATTTTCCTGTACTGGTATCTGATGCTTAAAAAGCAATGTTTGGACAAGCATATTGGTTACTACTGTTGCTGCAGTGTACCATTGTTCTGGGAATAAAACATTTGTTTGAACCATAAGCTTACTTGTCTGTTTCTTGCCATTTTACAGTGTGAATACAGGCACTTACAGCCACTTACAAATGGAAAATTCAAATTTTTAGCACTGAGCAAGCAATTTATGCACATTGTAGCGGTCATAAGGGACTTCTAAGCATTTTATTGTAAGGGTGAAGGCATCAGGTGAAATAAAATTTTGTTCTTCAATCCCATGCCACAGAGGCTTTTGATGTGTGTCGGTACAGCATGCATCACAGGCATGATGTGAACGAAACAATTGGCAGCTGAAGCATCAGGAATAGTACATTATTGGTGGGTAATAAATACCATGTGGGTTAATGCTAAAAGTTCGTGGAATAGAATAGGGACAGTGCAAAGTGATTTAGCCAGTTAGAACTCATGCTTTAGATTATAAATAAAACTCTCGTTTCTATACAACGTTATTCCCATGAGGGAAACGGAGCACGCCAGAGCTGTTGCCTCGTAATGCTTTGTATGTGGATGCTCCAGTAAAGGCGTGGGCGCACCGCCGATGTGAGACACGCGGAAATGCTAGCGACGCTCGAACAGAGGCCATAACTTCAATAAACTGTGTCTGATAATATATGAATGTACGAGAAATTGCTGTAACGTTGCGATAATCCGCCGGCTTTGTCGCACGCTTCCATCGTTAGACGTTCGCTAGACCCAAAGCACCCAGACGATAGCGCAACTGCGCCCCTCTGTCGTCATCCGTGCACAGTATGACAACGATATGCTTGAAGGGTGACGTTCAGGTCATAAAAACTTACACGGGTTATCGCATGCGTCGTTCGTACCGTATGTCGTCTTCATTTACGTCGTAGACACGTCGGTCTCAAGTTTCAACTTGTTACATGCAAGATCGCACCGGCTCGCCCACGAACGAATTATGTTTGCGGCTGCTAGACAGCGGTTAGGTGGGGCGCCACTGCTTAAAATAAAGCGAGGAAATAAGGCTTACGTTCTCTGGGTTATGTGTCGCATATTGCTTTCGTTTGTCTGCACTTAGATGGGGACGCAAAAGCGCTCGCGCAAAGATTGAGGTCCGGTAACGAGCATCCCGAAGCCATCCACCACGGTGCTTCTCACAACCAGAATGTTGCTTCGAGACGTTAAATCAGTGGATTGCTCGATCCACGCGTTAGAAACTAGAACAATGAAAGGAACGCGCACACACGAGTGCACCACAACGGTCGTGCGTCGTCTGCTATGGGGGTAAGTGGTGGCGGCATCTGGCGGTACCTCCGGTCCCTACACGCCAATTTTTAGCTCCATATGCCTCCGTAGGGATGGCGCCGGTGAGCAGGTCGTAAGTTTATAGAGGAGGTCGTGGGAGGGATGGCAGGGGAGACCCACGTCGTAGAGGGCGCTGCGGGGTCGGCCGCTGCCGTTGAATGGGGGGGGGGGGGGGGCAAAACTCGTTACAAGAATGTTGACCTCTCCGATGTTCCCTTCAACCTGTCTTTAAAAAACCTGTTCCTTTGCTCCCACGCTACACGCGTTCTGCACGTGTTTTTGAGAGTTTCGCCTCGCGCGCGGTTAGGATGTACACGCTTTTGTCGCGTTTAAGATCGCCGCAATTTAAGATTTTTTTCGTGGCAGCAATTTGGTGAAAGGTCAGCGATCTGCTCAGCCATGTAGCAGATGCGGAGCAAGTGGCAGCAGACACGCCATAATCAAACTCTATAAAAACATGTGCGATGGCAAAATGCCTCATTAAAAAAAAAAAAAAAACTAGCGATTGCGACCATCTGGTGTGCACAGAAGTATGTCATACGAAAACTGCACGGAGATAGCTATGTATGAAAATTTATTTATCAAACATTGTGCGTAGTCCGTTGCTTGAGTCATTATTACATTTAATGAAAGGTATCCAAAGAGCAATGCGCTTGTTGTACTCATTGTTAGGCTAGTTAGTACATGTCTCAGTTAAATAGTCAATTTCGCGCCAAAATCACGACCATACTGCAAATGAAGAAAACACATAGACAGGGCGGGCGCGCTTGTTGCATAGACAAATGTCCTTGTTACTAACCGCGTTCTAATCTTACCCTTAAAACGTGGTGGTATGAAGGGGTCACGTTTATGATAAATACCCTTTTATTCTAGCTTTACTTGATAATTGCACGTGCGCGGAACAAATTTTCGCTGAGCGTAAGTTTTGGAATCAACAGTCTAAAGAGAATGCTTTAAAATAGTCAGTTATGCGCTTCGCTGCTTATCATACCTCTGCGCCGTTTCTGCGTGAGATGCCCGTTTCCTGTAAGCCGCTGGAACTATCGTCAGTACATAAGAAGTGTGCTCGCTTGAGTCACTTTGCAGTTTTCCACAAAATGGCTGCTACAAATCATTGTCGAAGCTTTTGGCAACCACATTCTTCCATCGGCGCTGCTTAGATACAAAAAATATATAATCACACATCACAAATACCACATGTGTACACAACTTCAACTACTACAATATCGAATAACAGTAGCAGCATAAACATGTCTTCGCAATTTTTTGACAGTGCTGAAAAGATGCAAGTTGAAAGTAATATGGCAATTTGCGCTTTTAAGATGCAGATATGTATCTCCATGTAACTCAAAAGCTTAGAGGAGTGGTGACGCAGGAATAAACTCCTGTCAGGTTAAATGCATCGTGCACGTGCTCATTTTTATAAAAAAATTTACTTGTCTCGGCGCACTGTTGCGATCCATGCTTGTCGCCTGCTTTTTCTGTTTGGGAATGTTGAAGTCGACCCCTTCGTGTTTACATGGCCATTGTCACAGTTGACGACACAGCTATGATTCCCTCCTCTTTGTCGCGTTGACATGGCGGAACGAGGGCTGTTTCACGTGCAGCGCGCGCTTCACAAGTATACGCGGGAACCAAAGGGAGCGGAGGCTGTACGCTTTTTCCGGCAGAGAACCGTTGACGTCGCCGGACAAACTTCTCGGGTCTTCTCTCTCAAGACGGGGGGCAGGGGGGGCGCAGTCAGGTCTGCACATTGATATAATAGAGGCTGCGACTGGGGGGGAGCGCCAAGTCAGCCCCATGCATTGACATAAGAGGGAGGGGTGGCACTGCGACGAACCTTCGCCCCTCCTGAAGGGGAACCCTGCGTATGCCTATGCGTGACACGAACACTGCTTGGGAGCGAGCACAGAGTAAGAAAATAAGAAAAAAGTGTGTGTCTTACACCGCGAGAGCTAGCAAACGAATGGAATACCACAGCAGTTTGTCCAGTTTTGTTTTTTTACGTGCCGCTTTGGCATCGCCTAAAGACGACACGCATATCCGCGTGTTGTGTGTTCTAGATTTAGTGCCAGGGACCCCCAGCCGCCAGCGTACGCACGCTCTGGCGTTCCATTGTACTCCCAACTGCACCTGCAGAATATGCAAAGAAACGTACGTGGGCGGCTGGGATCTCCCTATGTCCAAGGTTAAACTTCACATGAAAAGGTATCGAAACCGGCTCCGTATATGAACGTCTACGGTATTGAGCCCACGCTGCTTGCTGCTCCTGTGTTCTAGCCTACTTATGGCCACACGTGCACAGGCACGCAGGCAGAAATTTGTTTAAGGTGAGGGGGGGGGGGGATACTACCTGGATCCGAAGTTGGGGCCGGCCAGGCAGACGTGGTCGAGCGTCGTTTTGTTTTGTGCCCTGTATGCGATGACATTTTGGGAGGGAGGGGGGTCACAGGCCTAATGTGCCACCCCCTGGCTACGCCACTGCACGTGCACCCTGTCTAAGGTTCCCCAGCGCTCGTTGCCCCAGCAGGGCGAAGCTTATTCTCTGCGGTGGTGGTGTGTGAGGGGAAGGCGCGCCTCGAAAAGAGGATCTCGCACGAGCTTGTTGCTTCACACAAGCAGAGCAAACTACAAACTGTGGACTTTCTTGTTTCAATCTACTATCAGTCAGAGCCATTTCTTTTCTTATCGTGCCTGTTCGCACTGTATTTCAAGTGCCTGTTTATCACAGGCGAGAGGGTAATAGCCTGTGATCAGAAATTTCCAATAATTTGATACTTTATTTTGATACCGCATCCCTTGGG